TTGATGGCTCGGCGACTCCGAGGGGTGTGGTCTGCAAAGGGTGTGGTCCGCAAGACCGGCCCCCCTGGGGGACAGGCGAGGACCTGTCGCCCTCTGTCGCTGAGCTATTCGCCCCTATCCCGGACCCCCGACGTCATGATGTTCTCATGACGTCGGCCCCAGAGGTCTGGACCCCTTCCCTGGGACCGGTGTTTCGTCCTGGGCCGTTTTTTTACGGTCTCGAGGCCCGGTAAGGGCCTCCAGAGGCCGAAAATAGCGAAACACCTTCCGTCTTGATTCGTTCATGACTCGACGGGGTATGGGATCGTCGCCTCTGGCAAAGACGACGCAGATCGCGGACCACACCCCGGCGCAGCCACGCCCGTGGTGGTCGCCGGCTGGTGGCCGCGAGGGAGGTGCCGCGGCACTGTGGCGCGCGCTGCCCCGCGCTCGCCCCCGGGGCTCGCGGCATACCCAGGCCCCGCGGCTGGGCGCGGCCGGCCCCTTGAGCGGCGGCGGCGGCGCTGGGCCGCGGAACCGACCTCCGGCCTCCCTGGCCTCCCTCCCTCCTGGGCCGCAGAAGCCTTCGGGTGTGTTCGTCGCTGTCGTGGCCTCGGCCTCCTCCCTGGCCCTTCTGGGCCGCGGCACTCGTCCCGCACCTCCCTGGCCCCGCCCCCCCCCCCCCGCCCCCCATCCCTGGGCCCCAGGACCCTGTCTTCTCGTAGTGGTCGTGTCTCCTCCCTTCCTGGCCGCGGAACCCACCCCTCGCCTCCCTGGCCTCCCTCGCCTGCTGGAACCCACACTCGCCTCCACGGCCTCCCCCCCCCCCCTCTGGGCCCCGAAATCCTCCCCTCTGGGCACCGAAATCCTTTCACGGCCTACCTCTGGGCCCAGCCTCAGCTCCCATCGCTGCGGCACTCGTGAGACTTGCTCACCGCGGCCTCGTCCGGCTGCCCGCCGGGCTCGGCTGCTCGGCCTGCTTCGCCTCGGGACGCCACGGCGGTGCGACCTCCCTCCTCGGCGTCAGGGGTGGCCCCGTCTCAGGCGCAGCGACTGGCGGCTTTATTGAACATGGAGGATTCGGAATCGCGAGGAAGCCAATAAGCGAGGCCAATCAGAGGCTCGTCAACCAATGTCAATCCTTAAGCGCCGTGCGCTCTCCACACCAGGGCGTTCCGATGCATGTCCTCCTCCTCTTCTTCCTCCTCCTCCTCCTCCTCCTCATTATCGTCCTCCTCCTCCTCCGTTTCCTTCTCCTCCCCTTCTTTTCCTCCATCTCCTCCTCCTCCTCCTCCTCCTCCTCCTCCTCCTCCGCCACCTCCTCCTCCGCCTCCGCCACCTCCTCCACCTCCTCCTCCGCCTCCTCCTCCTCCTCCTCCTCCTCCTCCTCCTCCTCCTCCTCCTCCTCCTCCTCCTCCTCCTCCCCCTCCTTCTCCTACTCCTCGTCCTCGTCCTCGTCCTCCTCCTCCTCCTGCTTACTCCTCGTCCTCGTCCTCCTCCTCCTGCGTTTCCTCCTCTCCTCCTCCTCCTCCTCCCCTTCCTCCTCCCTCTCCTCTCCTCTCCTCCTCCTCCTCCTCCTCCTCGTCCTCCTCCTCCTCCTCCTCCTCCTCCTCCTCCTCTTCAAGTGCGGCGCAGGCCCCGCAGCAATCTCCGTAATGGGTTTTAGCTCGGCGCCCTAGCCCCGTCCCCGCCTCACCGTGGCACTTGGGTGGCACCGGAACGACCTCATCTTTTTCGAGACGTTCAGCCGGTGGCGAAGTGGGACGAAACTCAGTCAGGCTCGGCAATTGTGTTAAAGTCCTGGCGCCATCATCTACAATATCGGCATCTTCCAGATCCGCTTGGGGAGGGTATAGATTATTGTCTGGCGGCTTGGGGCTTACGATTTTCTTTGCATTATGTTTCAATTTCGTGGGTTGTTGTCAATAGCGCGGTGGAGGAACATGAAGCTGTTCACAAGTTTGTGGAGGACATACATACGCGACACAGGCTTCGGAGGTTTTCGTGGCTAATAAGTCTGTGTTTTCGGCCATCCTGCTTGTGGCGTTAAGGCTAATAAGGTGAACACCAGTGGGGAGGAGGAACATGAGACAGTTCACAAGCTTGTGGTGAGTATACGCGGCGCTGGCTTCGAAGGTATTCGCGGCCATTCTGTGTTCTCGTTTATACAGCTTGTCGTCAATGATTTCGAACACCTCACAATAACATTTTTATTGACACGGCCAATGGAGTGGCAGCATGCATCCATCTCATTTCTTCCTTCCCTTCAACCTCGCTGTGGTATTACAGTTCTGGATAACAGGGGATCGGGACCGTTTGCAGCTCGACCTTGCCCAGGCAACGCAGTTTGGAACCACATCTTCGAGTTGTTCTGAGGGGTGAGGCAAAAGGGTCAGAATGATAATATGGCTACGCCATCGCCTCACTCTCTGACTCACTCACTCCTCCTCCTCCTCCTCCTCCTCCTCCGCCTCCTCCTCCTCCTCCTCCTCCTCCTCCTCCTCCTCCTCCTCTTCCTCCTCCTCCTCCTCCTCCTCCTCCTCCTCTTCCGCCTCCACCACCCTCTCCACCTCCTCCTCCTCCTCCTCCTCCTCCTCCTCCTCCTCCTCCTCCTGCTCGTCCTCGTCCTCCTCCTCCTCCTCCTCCTCCCTACTCCTCCTCGTCCTCGTCCTCCTCCTCCTCCTCCTCCTCCTCCTCCTTTTCCTCCTCCTCCTCCTCCTCCTCCTCCTCCCTCCTCTTCCCTCCTCTGCTACTCCTGCTCCTCCTGCTCCTCCTCGCCTCCTCCTCCTCCTCCTCCTCCTCCTCCTCCTCCTCCTCCTCCTCCTCCTCCTCCTCCCCCTCCTCCTCTTCCTCCCCCTCCTCCCCCTCCTCCCCCTTCTCATCCTCTCCTTCCTTCTCCTTCTCCTCCCCTTCTCCTCCTCCTCCTCCTCCTCCTCCTCTCCTCCTGCTCCTCCTCCTCCTCCTTCCCCTCCTCCTCTTCCTCCCCCTCCTCCCCCTCCTCATCCTTCTTCTTCTCCTCCTCCTCCTCCTCCTCCTTCTCCTCCTCCTCCTCCTCCCCCTCCTCCCCCTCCTCATCCTCTTCCTTCTCTCTCTCTCTTGCCTGTCCCCGCTCTTCGTCACATTCCCGCTCCCGTGTCGTGCCTCGCTCGCCCCCCGCTCGAAGCTCTCCTCTTCCCGCGGCAAGCAGTGCGAGGAAAAACCATTGTTGGCAGAAACCACGGCCACGAGGAAAGGATGCAGACGTGAGGCCTAGAGAAGCACAAACAAACCGACGAAGCACAACGGGGGGGGGTGAGAGGGTGCGGGCCTTCTCGGAGGGCTCAGAAGTCCTCCGGCCCTCGCGAGACGTTTTAAAAGCCTTCGCCGAGGACACAAAACAACTTCTCGAAGGCGCTAGGGCCTCTGAGAAGCCCCGCCGCCTTTTGAGAAGGCCTGCTCCTTCTCACCTTCCCCCCCCCCTGCCGACAAATGCTGGGTGCCGACTGCCCATTCTCACAGCTGCGGTGGAGACACGGCCAAAGTGGACCCCCCCTGGCACAATGCCGTCCCATCCACTTTGTGCTCGACCGACAACCGAGGATACACATAGAGGTGATTGAGATGTCCCATCCCCCGACAAGTTGGGGCCGTTAGATCTGAAAACTGGAAGCCTGTCCGCCTGACCCTCCTGGCGTGGGGTCTCTGGTGGGCCGATGTTCCATCACCACTGCCACAGTTAGGACAGGGATGAGGGGGAGGAGGAGCAGGAGGAGGAGGAGGAGGAGGAGGACGACGAGGAGGACGAGGAGGAGGAGAAGGAGAAGGAGGAGAAGACGAGGAGGAGGAGGAGGAGGAGGAGGAGGAGGAGGAGGAGGAGGAGGAGAGGAGAGGAAGAGGAGATGGAGGAGGAGGGAGGAGGGAGGAGAAGGAGGGAGGAGGGAGGAGAGGAGGGAGGAAGGAGAGGAGGGAGGAGGAGGAGGAGGAGGAAGGGAGAGGAGGAGGAGGAGGAAGAGAGGAGAGGAAGGGAGAGGAGGAGGAGGAGGAGGAGGAGGAGGAGGAGGAGGGAGGAGGAGGAGGAGGAGGAGGAGGAGGAGGAGGGAGGAGGAGGGAGGGAGGAGGAGAGAGGAGGGAGGAGAGAAGAGGAGGAGAGAGGAGAGAGGAAAAGATGGGAGGGAGGAGAAGGATGAGGAGGAGGCGGGAAGGGGGCGGGCGAGAGAGACAGGCAAGGGAGGAGAGGATGAGAAGGAGAAGGTAAACCCACGCTGGCGGCTTACTTAACTCATCCTGAACCTCTGTTTGACACTATCAGAACCCTATAGCGAAACGTTCTTAGGGAACACCAGACATGCAGAACAAGCACTGATGACGTACTCAATCGACACGACGAGCGTGCCCACGGGAAATAATCCAGATCGCACGAACGTCTAATGTATTATATGTGGTCTACCACTTAAACACAAACAGCACAACTGCTAAGAGAATGCGTGTACGCCAAACCACCACACGCAACCCTTTGCCACATCACGCTGTCGGGTCACACGGAACCGACTTCGGAACCACCCGCACCAACTCCTTAGCGGGGATCGCCCCAAAACCCAGACAACAAAACACACAGATCAAGCGATTCCGTTTGTGAGCCTTGTTTGCGACTTCCGCAGGCCGTTGCAGACCCCTGGAGGCCGCCTCCGAGAAGCTCTGGGGAGCTTCCTGGCCTTGGCCCCTGTCTTCTTCTTATTATTACTAGTCTTATTATAATTAGTTTTATCATTAGTATCATCACTGTTAGTATTACTAGTATTATTATTACTATTATTATTAGTATCAGTGTTATCACTACTATTACTAGTATTAATATTGTTATTCGTACTATTAGTATGTTTGTCATTATTATTATTATCATTCGTACTAGTATGAGTACTATTATTATTAGTAGTACTAGTATTAATATTATTATTATTTCTTATTACTTATTATGTATTCTTGTCACTTCTTATTATTATTATTACTACTAATAATATTATTAGCATGATTATTATTATTTCTCTCCTTCTTCTTCTTCCTCGCCAGCACCACCAAGTCAACACACGCGCTTGCCGATGTGTGCAAATTCCAACTGGAGGTCCAGGCGGCTGCCCCGTCACCCCAGGCACTCTCGTCGCCGCACTCCGGCTCCAGGCGGTGGCTCCGCCGCGCCCCGCCCGCCGGGGGGGCGACACGGCTCGGCGGTGGACAAACCTCCCTTCAGACCTTCAGTAAACCTCCCCTTAGGGAAACCGGGAGGGTGCGCCGCTGGATCTCCCCAAGGGGGGGGGGGTAGGAACCCCCCCCCCCCTCCCCCCCTTCCCCGATCCGTCGTCGGGGACCCCCCCCCCTCACCCCCTTCCCCGATCCGTCGTCGGGGACCCCTCCCCCCTTAGTGTATTCAGGGAGATCCACTGGCGCACTTTCTGAAACCGGCCTGGGACCGAAACCGACGGACCTGTGCCCGCGAAAACGACGGCCGCGGCGCCCCCTCGCGAAGCGAAGACGGCCCATTCCTTCATCGACGCGTCAGGGTAGGAGGTCTATCCACCTCCGAAAGGCGTGCGAGACATTTGGCAGTCCCCCATCCCCCGCTACCCCCCGCTCCCCAGGGGTCCCACATCCCGGTCCAGGGGGGGAGGGGGGGGCGAGCCTTTCAATGCACCCCGGGAGCTCTCCGGAACCTCCAGAGAATCCCAAAACTGCCCAAGAGCGCCCAAACAGAGCGCCGAGACAGTCCAAGAGAGCGCCGACACGGCCACTGGTAACCCCACGACGGCCCAAGATGGCTTCACTACAGCCCACGAAGCCCCCAGGACGGCCCAACAATGCTCCCGGAGGCTGGCCGCGAGGGCCACAAGACGCAAACAACGTCCCCCATCCTGTTTGGAAATCAAACATGCTTGACATACGCGCTCGCCATTCTCGTCTTGACAGCGTCCAATGCTGCCCTAGGGGCCCACGATATCGTCCCAAGACGGCCCATGAGGCCCGAAAGAGGACCCGAAGATTGCCCAATAGAGCCCAAAGAAAGCCCAAAGGGGCCCAAGACACGGCCCCAGGGGCCCCTACGATGGCCCACGAAGGCACCAAGAAAGGCCCAAGAGGGGCAATACGAACTGACATCTCGAGCCTTTCCCCCCTCATGGCCCCAGAAGCCATCCAGAGACCCCCGAGGCGCCCCCAAGAGGCCCGAGAGAGACCTCCAAGAGACCCCCAAGAGGCTTCCAAAAGGCCCCCAAAAGCAAACCAGATGCCTCCAGAAGCCATCTGAGAGGTCCCTAAAAGAAACCCTCGCGAGCGTGAAAGACACCCATCCGCTTCAGCTCCAACATCGCCTAACGCCATTGACGCCTCTATTCCGCTGGGAGTCGGCGGAATGGCGTTAACCACTCGGGGAACAACTTGCTCCTCCCTGTGAATGAGAGTTGTCCTCTTCAGGAGCCGTCCACCCCAAGGCGAGATCGTCTTGAGCTGCACCTTCCCCTGCATGCAAGTGCTCGAGATCGAGACTATCGCCCAGAATCCTGTCGACGATGGCCGACACGACCGAGTCTCTGGTGATGTTGACCTGCGGGCCCCAAGAATATACACAACCACCACGTCGATTCCTCCTCCCTCCTCTACCCTCCGCTTCTTTTCCTCTTCCCTGGGAGAGGGAGGGGGTGACGGAGGTGGTGGTGGTGAATATCTTTGGGCCCCGTATGACACTGGTCACCCCACGGTCCACGATCCAGCCAATTCCGACAATAAGACCAGAACTGCTGGTCATCAGGACTTTGGGGCTGGTCGGCATCGTGGCGAGCAACACCATGCAGGGGCTCGGGACTGGCGCGGAGCCGAGGGAACAGAGCATCACCAGCATGGCCTTCAACAGGAAGCTGCCAATGGCGAGGTTGATCTGCTCGATCCTGCCGAGGAAATAAACCGCGTTGATGAGGAAGAGCTCCGCCCCGTCCATCTGAACACTCGGGCCACTCGGGCCCAGAGTCGGCACGGACTTAGCCACAGGCGCACGGATATCGCTGCGCGGGCTGCATCGCTGACGCCAAAGACTCGCTCATCAGCGGTAGCGCGTCATGCTACTGGCTCTGCGTCTCGCACCAGCGGGCCACGTTCGGCACCAACTGCACGTTCTGCAGCTCGCGCAGCAGAGACAGCACCTTTTGAAGCCTATCGCCATTCCTACACGCGCTCACTGCACCGTTGTGACTGACTAGGGTCGACACGCGGATGAATCCACGGCAAGCGGCCTTATCTGAGCATCGTTTAACCGATCCCGATCCCCACTGGCGTGGCCTGGGCCCCACTGGCCGATTTGCCACACTAAATGTAAAGATCTGCTATTCCCTTCGGGTTTCGAGCGGCCTACTCCAAACTAGGGCGCTTGGACGTTGGGGCTGAGGTACCATTGCCCAGTGGGGACTGGGGTCGGATAAGCGATGCTGATTATCTGACCCGAGTCCTGCCGGTGGCCACGAGAGCCGACTCGCTGCATGCACGGGTGAGGAGTCCTTGTCCGCTTGACAGCCTGCTTGAAGCCTTGCTGCAAAGATGACCCAACTGCACGTCCTGCAGCTCGCGCAGCAGCGACAGCACCTGGTGAATATGCTCGCCATTCTCACACGCGCTCATTGCACCGTTGTAGCTGACTAGGGCGGATATGTGGATCCTGTCGGTAGCCACGAGAGCTTATTCGGTGCATGCACGGGTGAGGATGTCTTGCCTGCTTGGCTAACCTGCCCGCAGTCCTGTTTACGAGATGGCTAGCCTGGCGGCCTGACAACTTGCCGCCGCATGCTTCGTGAGCTCACTGACTACACGTGCTGCTGATACTTGCTGCTGCACGGTAGCGGTCGTATCTGTGGGCTGCCGAACGATTCTGGGCGTTCTGATTGAACAGGGCCAAAACATCTATGATGACCGCCTTGAGCTCTCGGGAAGCCTCCCGGTGCTGTGCATGCTGGGCCCTCCTTGGGCTCTCGTGAGGCCTCTCTGGGGACGTCGTGGGGTTACCGAGGGCCTCGCTGGGAACACTTCCAGAGGAGGCGGTGGGGCCGTCTGGACGGGTCTTGGGGCCACCTTGGGCCGGTCTGTACTCGTCTTAGAGCATATGTGGGCTGAATCTTTGGAAGCCAGCCCCGGGCATGTGGGGCGATCTGAGAAGAACAGTCGCTCGACGTTCAGATCCCCGCATGTGCATTTTATGTTCTTGTGACGTGTTGCTGAGAAACTCTGTCTGTGAGCATTTGGGTGTGAGAACGAGTTCGCGTAGAAAACAAGCGCGGCAACGATGACGACAGCGACGACTTCAGTGACGTCCGGCTCCTCACCCTTCTCCTGCTCCTCCTCTGGACACTTGTCAGGAGAGACGAGGGGAACATGCTGGGTGTGAGTGAACCTGAATCTGAATGAGTCTGAGTATGAGCGAGTAAGTATGAACACATCTGCATATGCTGTAGCCAAAATTTAGGTGAGTCTGAATGTGAAGAGAGTCTGGGGTGATGAACAGGTGCTGGTGAATAACTCCGAGTGCGAATGAGCGTGCGTATGACGTCACTTCGCTGGCCCCCAGCAGCCCTCGAAAGTGGCAACGGTTTTGCAGATCGCAGCCCCCCATGGATGGCGAGGTCTAATCTAGTTCCGCGCAAGGCGTCACTCCGCCAGACCACCCAGCAGCCATCGAAAGTGGCGACAGCTTCGCAGAGCACAGTCTCCCAGGGATGGCGAGCTCAAATACAAGTCCGCATATGACGTCACCCCGCTGGACCCCCCAACAGCACTCGAACGTTGCGACAGTTTCGTAGACCGCAGCCCCCCAAGGGATGGCGAGGTCTAGTTTACGTCTGCGTATGACGTCACTCCGCTGGACTCCCCAGCAGCCCTCGAAATTGGCCACACCTTTGCAGATCGCTAAAAGTCGTGTTTAATTCTTCGTGGGACGTCACTCTGCTGGACCTCCAGCAGACCTTGAAAGTTGCGACAATTTCGTAGATCACAGCCCCCCCAAGGATGGCGAAATTTAATTTAGGTCCGCGTGGATGCAACTCCTGGGAGGTCAAATTCTGATGTCGCCCTGGTCCGAAATCCGGCTTAGTCCGACTCAATCTGGCTGAATCTGGCTAGCTCTGGCTAAATCTGGCTTGCTCCTGCTAGATCCCGCTCAATCCGGCTTCATCCCGTTTAATCCGAGGCCCACTCCAGCGTAACAGCTCCCCAATGGGGCGTAATCCCCCTTCGTCCTTCCGGCGAAGACCTCCCAGTGGTTGCCTCCAAGTCACTCCGCCGGAACCCCAGCAGCCCTCGAAGGTGGTGGCAGCTTCGCAGACCGCAGCCCCCCGAGAGGGCGAGGAGGCAGGGTAGCAGGCGAGCATGAGGAAGGGCAGAAGGCGGGTGGGAGGCAGGGTAGCAAGCAGTAGTAGGAGGGGCGCAGGAGGAGGCAGGGAAGGGGGGGAGAGCAGGAGGAGCAGAAGCGAGTGTGCGACCGTAGTATTCCAAGCGAGAGCCCAGCGCAAGAGGGTTGGGAAAAGAGTCTAGAGGGCAGAAGCACGCAAACCGCCAGAGGCATCCCCACAATCTGGGCGCGAATCCAGGAATGTCCCCACCCTGGATGGCTCCGCCTTGGGGCGACCAAAATGCCACGCCTGCGATATGGCGGTGAGAATGGACCACCAGTCGAAAAAGTCAGGAGGGCGCCGAGACCAGCACACCGCCCGAGACCCCCCCGCAACCCGGGCGCGAAGGATGGGGTGCCAGACTCCCTGGCGCCTCCCCCCTCCCCCTTGAGGTGCCCGAGTGCTGCGCCCGAGCGCTGCGCCCAGGAGGAGGAGGAGGAGGGGGAGGAGGAGGAGGAGGAGGGGGAGGAGGAGGAGGAGGAGGAGGAGGAGGAGGAGGAGGAGGAGGAGGAGGATTGGGAGAGGGCGAGCAGGCCTCGGAGCCGCAGCGCGCAGAGCGCTAAGGGCCCTCGCGCCCTCGAGGGCGGCCTCGTGTGGAAAGGGGCTCTCCGGGTCTGCCCGGCGGGTCGGCGGGGGGGAGCCCGGGGCGCGCGCGGGCGACCGGGAGCTTCGGACGCCCGTGACTGTGCGAGGAGGACTCGGAGCCGAAGCGCGAGGCGCGGAGGGCCTCGCGCTCGCGAGGGCGGCCTCGTGGACAGGGGCGGCTCCGGGTCTGCCCGGCGGGTCGGCGGGGGGGGGGGGGTCCGCGGCGCGCGCGGGCGACTGCACATGGGAGCTTTGGACGCACGTGCAGGAGAGGAAGGGAGGAGGGAGGGAGGAGGAGGGAGGAGGGAGGAGGAGGAGGGGGGAGGGAGGAGGGAGGAGGGAGGAGGAGGAGGAGGAGGAGGAGGAGGAGAAGGAGGAGGACGAGGAGAGGAAGGGACCGCCGTCTCTCGGCGGCAAGGCTCAAGATGGCCCCCGGGCGGCCCAAGAGGCCTCCAGGGCGCCCCGGGAGGCCTCCACGAGGCCTCTTGCAAGAGGGCCGCAGGAGGCCGACTTCAGTGCTTTCCCGTAAGTTCTTGACGGTTTTCGGCGTTCTCGCCTCTTCGGCTCACGGACGCTCCGGGACTGCCCTCGAGGCACCCAAGATCGCCCCAAGGCGGCCCAAGGGGCCTCCAAGAGGGCCCCAAAACGGCCCAAGAGGGCCTCAAGACGGTCCAAGAGGTGCCCAAGACGGCCCAAGAGGCCCAAGTGACGGCCCCACGAGGGGGCCCACATCTTCTACAGTCATCGTGCTACCAAGAGGAACGCTGAACACGAAACGGATGGGCTTTCATGGCCACGGCGAGCCTCGGTCACGAACACCTCCCCCGAACCAGGTCGAAGGAACGGCCAGAATCCCGAGCTCCTTCCAAGCCCCGGGTTGTCCGCGTGCCAATGTCTTGGCTAGATTGGAAATCTCTTGGGGGCCTTTTGTGGGCCTCTTGGCGCCATCTCTGGACCCGCCTGGCCGATGCTGTGACATCTGAGTGCGGAATCCTCTTGGCGCGCACTGCGCCCTGCACAGCAGGAGAGGTAACGTTCGGCTTCAGACGCGCCTTCCACAGGCCACGCAGCAACGACAGCGATTGCTGCCACTGCTTGCCTTTTTCGCACGCGCTGATCGCGGCACTGTAGCTAACAATGCTCGGCTGCACTTTCGCTTCCCACATCTCGCCGAGTAAAGATAGGGCTGCCTCCCACTCCGAAGCCTTGTCGCAAGCACTGATTACAGCACTGTAGCTGATGATGTCTGGCTGCAAAGATGCTTCCGAACTTTCGCGCATCAGGGACAATGCTTGTCGCCAATGCCCGCAAAACTCACATGAGCTGACGGCTGAATTATAGCTGACAAGATCTGGCTCTACCCTAGCCTCCCTCATATCGCCAAGCAGCAGCAGTGCATGTTGCCAAAGTCCTTCTGCTTTGCACGCGCCGATCCCGGAGTTGTAGCTGATGGCGTCTGGCTCCAGCCTCGCTGTCCGGATCTCTCGCAACAGCCACAGCGCTCGCGCCCACTGCCCTCCTTCCTTGCATGCGCTGACTCCGGAGTTGTACGTGATGACAGTCTGCTCGAGCGTACTGGTCTGCAGCTGTCTCAGCAGTGAAATGGCCCATTGCCACTGCCCCCCCTTATCGCAAGCGCCCACCGCGGCACTTAAAATGACGACGTCCATTTCAAGCTTCGCCATCCACAGGTCTCTCAGCAAGGACAGCGCCCGCTGCCACTGCCCGCCTTCTTTGCAAGCGCTGACCCCGGCGCCGTAGCTGATGACATTCGGCCTCAATTGCTCGTCCTGCAACTCGCTCAACATCGCCAGTGCTGATTGCCATTGCTCGCCCTTCTCACACGCACTGATCGCAGCACTGTAACAAATGATATTCGGCTCCAGGGCCGTCTCCCGCAACTCGCTGAACAGCGACAGAGCTTGTTGCCACTCCCGACCTTTCCCGCATGCGCTGATTGCCGCACTAAAGCTAACTACATTCGGCACCAACTCCGCCCCCCACATCTCACCAAGCAGTGACAACGCGTGCTCCCATCGCCCGCCCTTCTCGCAGGCAGTGACCGCGGCACTGTAGCTGACCAAGCCTGACCCGTATACGTTCAAGACTAAGTCTTAGATCAGACGCTGGGTGAACGTGGAGATGTCGCCGAAGGCTTTCATGGAGCTCCGGGAGGCGCTCTCAAGGGTCCCCTTGGAAATTTCTGGGGGCGTGCCTGCGGCCCCGTGAAGCGCGAAGAAAAACACTGGAGACAACGACCGACACATAGCAGCCCAGGACGGGGTCTCGTTTGCCATCTTGGCCCCCTTGGGGCGTTGAAGGGCTGTGTTGGAGCTTTGGAGCTCCCTGGGGCCGTCTTGGAATTCTCTTGCGTGGTCTAGTGTCTGTCTAGGGCTGACCCGTGGATTCTGTCCACGTCAGCCAGCGTAGTGCTGGTTGCGAGCATGTTGCCTGTTTGTAGCTGCGCGTTGCTTGCTTGCTGCTTGTTTGCTTTTTGTTTGCTGGCTTGCTTGCGACTTGGTTGCTTGGTGGCTTGCTGCTCGATCTTGCTGCTTGCTGCTGCTTGCTGTCGAACGCTGTCACGGGGCTCTCCTGAGATGAATCTGGGCCTTCTCGTGCCTTCTTTGGGACTTCGTTGGCCACCTTGGAGCCTGGCTGGGCCTTCGGGGGGGTGGATGGAGGCTGTCGGGGGGGCGTCTTGGGCAGCCCTGGGACGATATTTAGCCGCCTTGTGGTCGCATTAGGGCCGAGACCGGAAATCAGGAAGAGCACGTGCGCCTGATGTCCCAACGATGTTCCATCGTGGCTGCGTCTTGGACGATCTTGGGGTCCTCTTGGGCCGTCTGGGCCTTTCTGGACCCGAAAAAGGGAGAACCAGACAAACCTTCAAACACCGATGGAAAATCAATGTTTTTGGGCCTCCTCAGGCCCTCCCTCTTGAGGGCCGCGGTCCAAACAAGGGAGGGACATAAGAATCGTGTGGCTCCCATCGTCCTTAAAGACCACGTCCCAGAAAAAAAATCGAGCTCCCAGAAACTTATCGAAACAGTGCCGAACGGGTATCGCCTCCCATGGCCCGACGCGTGAACGCCCTCCCGTTTCGGTGCTTTGAACTCTCTTAGAAGATGAATGACACACATAAATTGTTGGCGCTCCGCGCTCCACCTGGACCCCCTTCCCTGGCGCGCGGAGCGCGCCAGAGGCGGCGCTGGAGGCGCCGCCGGGGGGCCCAGGCGCGGATCCAAGAAATCCGCGCGGAGCGCCAAAATTTTTTACTTTGGTGTGCTTGATTTTCCTCGGGTTCTGGTGATCAGGGCTAAAAGTAGGTTGGAACCTCTGAGCGCAAGAAGCGCTTAGATGCCTTACTTTCCTCCGTGGCTGGCGTCGTCTTAGGAGCTCGCCGAGGGATCTTCTCCTCGGACGCCTCTCTTGGAGGCGGTCTGGGGGAGCCTCTGGACCTCTCGGGCACCCCTGGGGACCTGGTGTGGGCTTCCCGGGGGCCGCCTGGGGGCCTCCTTGGGGGCCTGCTGGCGGTCTCGTGGGCCAGCTTGGAGGGCGCGACATGTCAGTTCGAGTTCGCCCTATCGGAACCCTCGGGGCAGTCCCCAGGGCCCCTTGGGTCGCCTTGGGACGACATTGAGAGCCTCTTGGAGCCCAATAAGCCGAGAGCGTCAACATCGAAACCTACAGAGGATAAGTGATGTTGTCTCTCGGGGCCCTCTTGGGCGGCCTCTTGGAACCCACTGGGGGCCGTCTTGGCGCCCCTCGGGGCCGTCTGAACGTCATGTTGGCGTCGTCTTGGACAGTCTGCAAACGTCTCAGGCCATGTTGGACCGTCCCTCTTCTTGGATCCCCGCGATGGTTGCTAAGGGGATGGGCGGGTTAGAAGTGGATGCTAAAGTGAGTTTTATGTGGCTTGATAGAACCTACTTTAGCACCCATTTCTAACCCGCCCATCCCCTTAGCAACCACCGCGGCGATCCAAGTTGTGTCGTCTCGGAGCGGGCCGGGCGGGCCAGGCTGCCTATCAACCTCCAGAAAGCGCCCAGCCCCGGCCTAGAATAGATAGATGACGTCCTGCTCAAGCCCCACCTCCCGTATCTCTTCCAGCAGCAGTGCCGCGAGCTGCCACTGCCTGCCTGCGCCGCAGGCGCTGATGGCGGCGCTGTAGGGGATGATGCCGGTCTGCGCGCGCGGCTCCGACGCCTCCCGAAACACCGCGAGCGCCTCGATCCCAGGGGGGCAGAGAGGAGCGACACCTGCCCCGCGCCCCGTGGCAGAAGGGGGCGGGGAGGCGGAAACAACTCCGACGCGCCCCCCCGAGTAGAGGGAGGCTCCAAAGCGCACTGTCCGGACGAGGCCCCCGGGGAGGCCGAGACGCGAGGCCGAGGGCGCCAAGGGAGCGAGGCGTGGGGGCAGGGACTTTCGCAATCGAGTTTCCAGAAAACATGCAAAAGCACACGGCTTCGCAGCACTGATTTGCTGAAAAAGCTTCCGCGCGAGCTCTTGCGATATCTGAAGAAAGCCATCAGTTATTTTCAAGATTTTCACACAATGCTACCAAACGGGCTCCGCGCGCGCGCATGTCGAAATCTGTCGAACGCCCTTGCGCGTGTGCCGTCGCGATCCTGAATGGTCGGCCCATGGATGCCGCGATGACGTGGCGGTTGGTTTCTGACATCGCGTGGATCGTCCCATCTTGGACGATCGCCGCTTTCCCATGCCAGAGGTCGTGAAGCACTGGTCGGGTCCAGGCAGCCCGGTGGAGCAAGTCGGAGTTCACGAGCGCGTCTCGCGTGCACAACGTAGCGGACGGAAGGACGGCACTAAACCAACTTCTCCGCCCTCTGGAACGCCTGTGCTAGGGCGGCTGGGGAAGTTGGTACCCGTACGTGCCAGCGATGCCCTTGCGTGCCAGCGTATGGGCACACACTCCCCAAGCGCCCTGGAACAGGCGCCCCCGAAGGCTGACGTGCTTCGCTTGCTTTCCTCCGACGAGGTGCGGTGCGCAGGGCGGGCAGGCCGGCAAGGTGGACAGCAGAACAAACCATAAATGAGCGACGAAGAGAAACCGATCTTACAGTCGGGGCGCTGAAGAAGGAACCTTTTTCGTTGGGGAGGGGCTCGGTGTTCCTTGATGGTTTTACAGTTTGCCCTGCGTCTTCCTTAGGTTTTCCATGGGAAATCGAAGTTTAACTGGTGGGAAAAAGGGGCCTCGTTCCTCATTTGGGGTTCCTTAGGTCAACGCCCCGACGCACGATGACACAGCGACCCTACGCGGTGGCCTGCGCGGGACGCCAGCGCGACACGCGACATCAGAATCGAGGGCGCCTACGCTCGAGCTTTACGCGGGCTGCGTACGCGCGAGCGTCCGCGCAGTCGAGCCTGCTCTCTGCAGTCGCCCGCCTGGAAGCGGTGATGCATCGCCGATGCATGTGCGATATATAGGACCCCAATAGCAGAACCGCGCGTTCCAGAGCGAGTGGGCTATCGGGCTCCTCTCGGCAAAGGGCGGCGGGGATCGATGAATCCCCCCCTAGGGCTGTCCCCCCTCACGCTGCCCCTGGTTCCCCGTCGACCTGGCCATCCTGTAGTGTTGGGTCCTCGTTTTGAAGAGACAGCGCCCCGCGTCCTCCTTCCTCCTCATCCCCCTCCTCCCTCCTACCATCCCTGCCTCTGCCCTCCGCAGTCCTCATCGTTATCATCATCGTCATCGTCATCCTCATCATCGTCAACATCATCATCATCATCATCATCATCATCATCATCATCAACAACATCATCATCAACATCATCATCACCATCCTCATCACTACCATCATCATCTTCATCGTCATCGTGATCGTCGTATCCAGCATCAACATCAACATCGACATCGCCACAATTATAACCACCAACATCATCAACATCGTAATCACAACCATCAGCGTCATCCTCATCAACATCATCATCATAACTATCAACATCATAGCCAACATTGGAGCCATCAGCATCGACATCATACCGTCAGCATCATCATCCAAATCAGCTGCATCATACTAAGCATTAGCAGCAGCATTGTCATCATCAGCCTCATCACCAGCATCACCATCATCGCCATCACCATCATCATCAGCATCATCATCAACAGCATCGACATCAGTATCAGCAGCAGCATCGTCATCATCGCCAGCATCATCAATTTCACCATCATCATCATCACCATCATCCTCACCACCAGCAGCATCATCATCAGCATCATAACACGTATCATAATCATCACCATCATCATTTCAAACATCATCATCATCATCATCATCATCATCATCATCATCATGAGCATCATCATCATCATCATCATCATCATCATCATCATTCCACTCATCATCCCCAACATCGCCACCTCCCGCATACTCAGCATCATAATCACTATCGCGATCACCATCGTCATCATCACCATCATGACCACCACCATCAAGATCATCAGCAGTATCATCATATTCATCACCATCATCGTGAACATCATCACCATCATCATCATCAGCACCACCATCACAATCGTCGTCATCATCAGCTGCACCATCATCATCATCATCATCATCATCATCATCATCATCATCATCATCATCATCACCACCATCATCATCATCATCATCATCACCATCTATCTCGGCTCACCCCTCTCACGCTTCGTGGCCACAGAGGGAGGATCCATCGAAGGCCCCAGTGGCAGGGTTCGCATGGCGACCCTGTTCCATGTCGGTATACCCCTCACGCGTTTCGTGGCCACATGGGGACCTTCACCGAAGGCCCCAGTGGCAGGGTTCGCATGGCGGCCCCGCCCAATTTCGGGCACACCCCTCATAAGATTCGTGACTCCATAGAAAGCTCCGCAGAAGGCCTCAGAGGCAGGGCTCGCATGCCGGCCCCGCTCTGTTTCCGAGCACCCCTCACGCGTTTCGTGGCCACATGGGGACCTCCACCGAAAGCCACACTGGCGAGGTTCGCAGGGCAGCCCCGCCCCATGTCGGCACACCCCTCACACGTTTGGTGGCCCCATAAGGAGCTCCACCGAAGGGGCCCCAACGGCAGCTTTCGCATGGCGGCCCCGCCCCATTCCGGAACACCCCCTCACACGCTTCGCGCTCCCATTGGGGAGCTCCACCGAGGGGGCCCCCGACGCCGGGTTCCCGTGTCGGCCCCGCCTTGTCTCGGCACGTGCCTCCCACTCATCGTGGCCCCGCAGAGAGCTCCACCCAAATCCCCAGTTGCAGTGTCTGCATGGCGGCCCCGCCCCACGTCGGCGCCAGTGGCAACGCCCGCATGGCAGCCCCGTCCCATTTCGGCACGCTGCTGGCACCTTTCGTGGCCGCATAGAGAGCTCGACCTAAGGCCACAGTGGCGGCGCCCACATGGCGGCCCCGCATGTCGGCAGACCCTCGACACGCCTCGTGGCACCATGGGGCTATCCACCGAAGGCGATACCCACATCGACGGTCCTCACAACTGCATGCGGCTTGGTCCGTCGCCAGGATGATGTTGCATCGCTCAAGTGTCGTCCGCTCGTCGGCGGGCAGGCGGGCGGCTGGTGCCGTGGGGCGTCACGATGCCGCGGGGGCGCCCCGCGCGCCGCGCGGGGGCCCGTGGCCAACACCCGAGGATGCACCTTCGGGCTGAGCCTCGAGGGTGAGGCGCGGGCATTGGATGCTCGCCATCGCCGGGGCCCTCCTTCCCCGTGCGTGCGTCGGTTTCGTGCGCGCTCGTGTTTCGCAGGGTGATCCCGTATGCTCCTCGATAGTCCTCGCAAAGAGAAGGTGCACTCGTCCGAGCGATACCAGGGATGAGAAATCATTGGGCAGGGACTCCAGGGCCTGGAAGCGGGTGGGAGTCCAATCGTGGATCTGTCATCGGAATTACCGCCGTCCTCCACCAGAGCAGGAATCGCCCAGTGTCTGAAACCTCCAGAGCCCCGAAGGTACCTTCGGGCTGAGCGAAGAGGAGGGGGAGGGGGAGGGGGAAGAGGAGGAGGAGGAGGAGGAGGAGGAGGAGGGGAGGAGGAGGAGGAGGAGGAAGAGGAGGAGGAGGAGGAGGAGGAGGAGGAGGAGGAGGAGGAGTGCCCAGATATTATAGTGGCAGGCGCCACCAAGCGCCTCGGACAGCCTGGGGCACGTACAGGCAAGTACTCCTGGCTCATTCGGGTCCTGGAGATTTTCTGGCATATACAGCCAACCCGTACCACAAGATGCACGGTAAGGATGCAAGGGCCTTGGAAGGCGACGTTGACATGTCTCGAACGAGGTTGGCCAGCGAGAGTCGCTAAGGATGGGCCAGAGGGGCAAGGATGCAAGGGTACCCTTGGGAAGGTTGCCCATCCTTCCTATGCGGGTTGACTGTACAGGCAAATACTCCCGGGCGCTTCAAGCCCTGCAAAAAGCTCTGGCAGATACCTTCGGGCAGCTTGAGCACGTTGGTAGCCCGGTGGACTTCGGGCTTCAGGAACGCCAGGAGGAGGAGAAGGAGACGGAGGAGGAGGGGGAGGGCGAGGAGGAGGAGGAGGACGAGGAGGAGGAGGAGGAGGAGGAGGACGAGGAGGAGGAGGAGGTCACTCACCCTTGGTCCCGAAACGATCGTCCTCTGGAAGGCTCAAGCCGCGAGATCCGCCTCCGACGTCGGAGGTCGTCCCACGCTCGCCCAGCCCCGCCAGCCTGGTGGAGCTCAGCCTGGAGCGCCCGCGCTGGCGCCGCCGACGCGCCCCTGCGGCCTGAGCCCACCGAGCTGGGCGCGCTGGCCGCAGGTGGCAGCGCCCCCCTGACGGGCTCTCCACCAGCGGGTACTTTGGCCAGCGACCTGGAGAACCCAATCTTCGCACAGGGCCCAGAGTGACAAATCCTGGCAGGCTTCCAAAGGTACCCACCAGTAGTGGGTACCCACTGCGGTGCCAATGAAGGTGTCCCCCGTCCTGCCCCCCAGATCCACTGCTTCCTCCCCCCGTGCCCCTTGATGGTTCGGCGACTCCGAAGGGTGTGGCTTGCAGAGGGTGTGGTCTGCCAGACGGGCACCCTTGGGGGCAAGCGAGGACCTCGACGGAGTCTGGAAAAATCGAGGCGGGGATTTTTCATCGTTTTCGGCCTCCCAGGGCCCTCGCCGGGCCTCGGGACCGCCAAAAAACGACTCGGGGTGAAAAGCGGGTCCCAGGGAAGTGGTCGGAAGGTCGGGGGCCGTGTCTCCAAAAAATCGAGACGTCGGAGGTCTGTGCCGCTGCGACGCCCGAGGAGGCCCGACGGGGGCAACGTCCTCCTCGCCCTCCAACTCCTCCTCCTCCTCCTCCTTCTCCTCCTCCCCCTCCTCCTCTTCCTCCTTCCTCCTCCTCCTCCTCCTCCTCCTCCTCCTCTTCCTCCTCCTCCTCCTCCTCCTCCTCCTCCTCCTCCTCCTCCTCCTCCTCTTCCTCCTCCTCCTCCTCCTCCTCCCCCAAGCCCCCCACACCGGGGCGGACGACGGGGGCGGATATAGGGCAGGGGTGGGCGCTGCGCGCATCCGCCCAGGAGCCTCGTCGACGACACGGGCGATCGGAGGCTCCGGATGCATGTGTACTGCCCCCCCCCTGAGCTATTCTTAAGTCGGGCCTGTCCCCCTACTGGGGGATTTTCGACGACAAATAAAACATACTCTAAAAATAATCCCAAAATACTCTGGGGAATATTTTTTAAATGTTTTTTGACCTTGTTGGAGTATTGTTCGGGTATTTTTATTTTTTCGTCGAAAATCCTCCTGTAGGGGGACGGGCCCGACTTAAAGCTATTCGCCCCCATCGCCGCCTCCGCCAAAGCCGACGCAGATCGCGGGCCGCACTCGGGCCCCCGCGCAGCAGCCACACCCTTGCGGTGGTCGCCGGCTGGTGGCCGCGAGGGAGGTGCCGCGGCACCGGGAGCCGCGCGGCCCCCCGCCGGCCCCCGGGGCCCGCGGCATGCCCGGGTCCCGCGGCGCTGGGCGCGGCAGGCCCCCTTGAGCGTCGCGGAGGCCACGGCAATGGACACTGCAGCAGTCCTATACCACTGGAAGTGCACCAGCAGGGGCCCGTCCGCGAGGAGCCCTCCGCCAGGAAGCCAGCCCTGAGGCCCCGCCGGGAGGCCCCCGGATTTCTGGCAGGGGGGGCGCCACGCGTTCCGTCGCAGAGCCGTCGGGCCCAAGAGACCCAGGGCGCCCTGGAGGCAAGCAGGCTGCGTCTTGGCACGGGCTCCCACTGCAGATGTGTATATGGTATGGTCAAAAGACGTAGGCATCTGGGGACTGTTCGGCAGCATGCCTCCTTCCCGTGGACCGTCCTCCACAGCTGCGAAAAGCGGATGCGGCGGCGCAGGGGTCCCCGGGGGGAGGGGGGAGGGCGGAGGCCCAGAGGGGGGGGAGAGGAGGAAGGGCGGGAGGACGACGAGAGGCTGGCGGGAGGGGCGGAGGGGGGAGGCGAGGAGGGCAAGGAGGGGCGAGGATGAGAGGGGTCGAGGGGTTCGAGGGGGGAGGCGAGAAAGGGGGGGCGAAAGGGGGGGGGGTCGAGGGGGGGCGAGGGAGGCATGCAGTACTTTGCCGTGCCCGTCCCGGCGAGGGCAGGCGTCCTGTGCTGCTCCCAGGCCCTGGGTTCCGCCAGGGGGTGAGCACCGCCCCCGGACGGGGGGCTGCTGGGAGGGCGAGAGGGAGGAGGAGGGGGGAGCACGTGGGAGGGCGAGTTGGGCAAGGGGGGCGTAGGGAAGGGCGGGCAACGGCGGCCGGGGGAGGAGGGGGATGGTGGGGGAAGGCAAGGGGGAGCGGAGCCGGAGGATGAGAAGGAGGCGGAGGAGGGAGGATAGGCCAGGAGGGTCGGATGAGGGAGGAGCAGGTGAGGGGGCTGGGATGGATGAAAGAGGATGAAGGATGAGGAGGAGGAGGAAGAGGAGGAGGAGGAGGAGGTGGAAAAGAGGAGGAAAAGAGGAGGAACAGAGGAGGACAGAGAGCAGGGGGTGGGCAGGGGACAGAAAGGACGGAGGAGGGGGAGGGGGACAGGAGACGAGGCGGAGGAAAAGGAGGAAGCGGAGGAAGAGGATGACAAAGGGGAGCCGAGGACAAAGAACCTCGTGTCTTCCCTCGAGCACGGCCCCCCGCCGTCCCTCTCTTCCCTCTTCCTCCTCGTCCTCCTCCGCCTCCTCCTCCTCCTCCCTCCTCCTCCTCCTCCTCCTCTTGCGCCTCCTCCTCCTCCTCCTCCTCCTCCTCCTCCTCGTCCTCCTCCTCGTCCTCCTCCATCTCTTCCTCCTCGTCCTCCTCCTCGTCCTCCGCCTCCTCCTGGCTCAGGCCTTGACGCTGGAGGGGCCACACCGGGATCGAAGGCACGATCGACCGGATTCGGCCTGCGCTGCGGGCCAACACACTGGACAGCTAGGACGTCACGGAGGAGGAGGAGGGGGAGGAGGAGGAGGAGGAGGAGGAGGAGGAGGAGGAGGAGGAGAGGGGAGAGGAGGAGGAGGAGGAGGAGGATGGGGAGGAGGATATGGGAGGAGAAAGGAGGAGGAGGAGGCTGAGTATGAGGAGCGGAGAGGAGGAGGAGGTGGAGGTGGAGGTGGAGGAGGAGGCGGAAGCCTCCTCCTGAAGGAGGGCCACATTGGAGCTCACTCGGGACAGGGGAAAGGAGGGGCATCTCGTCAGGAAGCCTACCTGGTTACACTTGCTAGCCAGAACAAGCGGATGAGGTCAACTGTGGACGAATGGGCGCAATGGGCCTGCGGGGCAGTCGCCTGGCGTCCTGTGCGAGAGCGGAGACGCTGTCGCACTCCACCCCCGGGCTCTGCGGGTGCTCTGGGCACGCCAGGTGCTGTTCCAGCTGGTGTTAGCGCAGAAGTACCTCCTCCTCCTCCTCCTCCTCCTTCCCCCCTCCTCCTCCTCCCTCAATCCCTCCCCTCCCCTCCCTCTCTCCCCCTCCCTCTCTCCTCCTCCTCCTCCTCCTCCTCCTCCTCTCCCTCTCCCTCCCCCTCCCTCCCTCCTCCCTTCTCCTCTCCCTCCTCCCTCTCCCTCTCCCTTCCTCCTTCCGCCACCCTCCCCATCCTCTCCACCCCTCCTCCTTCCCTCCCTCTCCTCCCCTCCTTTGTCCTCCTCCTCCTCCTACATCCCTCCTCCTCCTTCTCCTCCCCTCCTCCTCCTCCTCCTCCTCCTCCTCTCCTCCTCCTCCTCCTCCTCCTCCTCCTCCTCCTCTGCCTCGCATCGATGCGACCATACCCGAGGTGCCCGGGCGCGGCCATTGTGCGTGCATCCCGATGCCGCGTTGCCCTTGCCTTTGGTGTCGAGGTCGGTGGAGTCGTCCAGCCAGCGCGGCAGCCCACGTGACCTGGAGCCCGAGCAAACGAGAAGACCCTCTCCCGGGAGCCCAATCTCCGCAGCTAGGGGGCCGCATGCGAACCCTACCCCCACCCCCCACGATTTCTGAGGGGGAGGGGTAGGGTTCGCATAAGGCCCCCTAGCAGCATGCGGGCAGTGCAGTACGGCACACCTTCGGGCCCTGCAGCGAGTGGCATGGTCGATTTGCGTACTGCCGACTCGGGGGGATGCCCCGACCCCACTAGCAATTTCCCGCTGCGTAGTCCGCGGCAATTTTCCTCAGACGCTAGCGATGCCAAGGCATGTAGGAACAGTGCTGCACGGTGAAGTCGCTGATCACCCAACGATGATGGGACCAACCTGTCAGGCTGCTGCTCGGATATCGCACCGATCTGTTCAATCAGCCGGCAACCAGCTCGCTGGCATCAAACTGATTTATCATTCCCTCGAGGGGACGGGACTCATAGAGACCATTCCACACATCATGGCGCAAAAGCCTCAATCAATAACAGATGCTCGGCCGCAGGATGAGCAGTAGGTCACCATGCTAAGGCCGCGCTCAGCCTCCACCCGTCCTCTGGTCCTGTCCTCCTGCCAGGCGTCAAACTCGCGGCTGAGCGAGCCAATCGCTTCCTGAAGCTAGCAACTAACATGCTGCCGTTACTTAGAAGTGACGTCCATTGGCCCAGGGTTGTTCGGCAAAAGTGCGCCAAAGTCGACGCAGGACCAATACCGATGTGTTCCCAAGTTGTCAGGCCGATTGCTGGCACATGCTGACGGCCACTTCGTTGACGCCGTGGCTGGACTCCAGGCTCTGGAAGCGGTTGATCTGAACGAGTCCAGCAGCAATGAGATTTTCCAGCAACCGTACTTATGCCTCCGCTGTGGGGGTGGTCCCATGGCCGATGGCAGAGGTGTAATCTTAGCTCGCCCATGTGAGACCCCGCTCCATCAAGAGGGGCCTTGAGGTATTCACTCCTGCAGCTCAGGGTAAGCCAGTTAACCGGAGAGTCAATGTGCTCCTGGATAGCTCTGTTGCGATGTTCCCCCAGCTGGGCTGGTGCCCGAGAGGGAGGATGTATCCAAGTTCGTCTCGCTGTCCGTCGGGCTTGGCTGCCTAGGCTGGCTCGTCGCAGGCCTCCACGGTTGTGCGTACTTTCTTGTCGGCCACATAGGCCGCCCCCTCTCAGGAGCATGGAGTGGCTGCTTCAATGAGGGGGGCTCGACTTCGTGAGGAAACCAATGAGCGAGGGCAGTCGTAGTCTCGTCAGTGAGCTTGAGTTGTCATGCTGGATCCTATGTGCTGTGCGCTCTCCCCACCAGGGCGTTCCAATCCTTCTCCTCCTCCTCCTCCTCCTCCTCCTCCTCCTCCTCCTTTCCCTCCTCCCCTCCTTCCTCCCCCCCTCCCTCCCCTCCTCTCCTCCCCCTACTCCTCCTCCTCCGCCTCCTCCTCCTCATCCCCTCTCCTCCCCTCCTCCTCCTACTCGCCTTCCTCATCCCATCCTCCTCCTCCTCCTCCTCCTCCTCCTCCTGCTCCTCCTTGTCATCCCTCTTCCCTCCTCCCTCCTCCCTCCTCCCTCCTCCCTCCTCCCTCGTCCTCCTCCTCCTCTCTCCTCCTCCTCCTCCTCCTCCTCTCCTCCTCTCCTCATCCTCTCCTCCTCCTCCTCCTCCTCCTCCTCTCCCTCCTCCTCCTCCTCCTCCTCCCCCCTCCTCCTCCTCCTCCTCTCCTCCTCTCCTCCTCCTCCTACTCCTCATCCTCCTCCTCCTCCTCCTCCTCCTCCTCCTCCTCCCCCTCTTCCTCCTCCGTTTGTTGCAAGTCTCCGCCCTTCGTCCCAGTCCGTCTCCCGCTTCATGCCTCCCCCGCCCCCCTTCCAACCCCTCCACGGACAATGTAAAATGCGAACGGCCTGAAGGAACGCAAACCGACTCACAAATGGCAGATGCTGGACGCAGACGGCACATGTTGACACCTGCTGGGAGGACACGGCCAGCCTGGGAACCCTGGGCAACTTGGCGTCCAAGCCACTTCGTGGTCGCCCGAAAACAGGGGAACCAAGGTAGAGGTGCTTGAAATATTCATTCTCTCAGCTGGCAGGTTGGGGCTGTGCGATCTGCAGAAGCAGAAGAAGCCTCCCCCGCCAGCCCCGCAGACTGCAGCCGCCAGGCACCAGCGGTCCTGGGCGCTTCAGGTCTCCCGCCTCGCCCGATCGTCGCCCACTATACCGCGGCCGCCAGGCACCAGTAGCCATAAGTATCCCTCTTGGCTGGTCCCCGGACATCGAAGCGACAGAAGCATTCCACTGATGGCAGGCCTCACGGCGCCACGCCGACCGCATATATATATATATATATATATATATAGAGAGAGAGAGAGGGGGGGGTGAAGAGAGAAGAGAGGGAGGAAGAGGAGAGAAAGGAAAGAAAGAAAGAGAGAGGAGAGAGACGAATGATGGTAAATCGTTATCCGGCGTGTGAAATGAATGGGGAGGGGGTGACCGGGTGGCTCTACCGGGGTAGGGGGAGGGGGGGGGGAGGGTTCCGGTGCCGTGGGTTCCGATGGTGTGTGGAGGAGGGGGGAGGGGGGTCCACTCCCCCGTCCGACATTTTGGACAGGTGGACTTGGGGGAAGATTGGGGGGGGTCTAGTGGCCGGGGTGGCTCTGCCGGGGTAGGGGGGGAAGGGGTCCGGTGGTGTGGGTTCCGGTGGCGTGGACGCGGGGCGGGGTCCGGTCCCCCGTCCCGCCTGTGGTGTGGACAGGGGGGATCGGGGGAAGAGGGGGGAGGGGGGGGAGGTGGCGTGGGTTCCGATGGCGTGGGGGAGGGGGAGGGGGGTTCCGTGGCGTGTGAATTTGAAAGGGCCCCACCTACAGCCTCGAGGCTGATTTTCAGCCCCCAGGGGGTCTGCCAGGGTGGCTCTGCGGGGGAAGGAGGGGACGGGGGGGGGTCGCGCGTGCGCGGGGTAATGTTAGTCCGTGTACGCGAGAAAGGAATCGGGGAAAGAGGGGGAGAGAAGTGGAACGGGACAAGAGAGAGAAACGGGGAACAAATGGGGGGCAGACGAAGGTGGCGGTAAAATGCGTGTCTGTTGTGGTGTGTGCGTGTGTGTGTTTGTGCGGTGTGCGTGGTGTGTATGTGTGTGCGTGTGTGTTGCCAGCGTGTGCGTGTGTATGTGCCAGCGAAGGTGCCGCGCGTGTGTGTGTGTGTGTGTGTGGTGTGTGTCTGTGGGTGTGTAGTGTGTGTGTGTGTGTGTGTGTGTGTGTGTGTGCGCGTGTGTGTGCGTGTGTGCGCGTAGTGTCTGCGAGCGTGTGCGTGCGTGTCTGTCGGCGAAATGTCGCCGCCCAGATTGGGGGGGCACCCCAAGCGACCCGGATCGGTGGCACTGGCCGAAAGCCACTACAATGCAGACATCAAGAAAACATGCATGGTACGTTTCCATAACACACGCCAGAACAACGAAACATGAAGCAGCAACGTAAGTAGCTTGCGTTGAAGCCCTTGTCGCGCACAGTTTGGCCTAGGAGCGAATCTGCCCACTCTCTCGGGTACCCCTGTTTCTGTTCGTCGCCAGCGTTTCGGCGTGTGGCCAGCTATCCTCGTCAGGACCTGCAACAACCATCCACACGGGGCAGGCCGACGCTGTCACGAACGACGCCTCCGTACTCAACTGTGTGAAACATCGCTGTGTGCAACCCCCAAATCGCCAGAAAATGTCAAGCGGCATCAACGCGATGGACGCAGACAGCTCAACTGCCTGCGTCAACCGAGAGCCTGGTTCATTGGCGCTCGCGGAAAGAAGAAACAACCGCCCCCTCTTTTGTGACATCGCGGCTTCCTGGCGAGCGCATTGGTGGCCATCTGCCGGGTGCGCCCTCTCCCTTGAACGGGTGCCGACCACGGCCCACGGGCGTGAGCCACCTGACCCCTGCTGTTAGGCGTTCGTGGGACACCTCGCTCGAGAGGCCAAGCCTGGCCTCCAAGGCCGTCGGGGCCTAGCTACCGACTCGTACACGGACACGGCAACAAAATCAGAACGCACTTGCGAAACACCATATTTGAAGTGACCATTGCTCCTTTTTCTGACTGCAGGGCCGAACGCCGGAGACGGCTGGTCTCAACAAAAACAACGCCCTGTGGACACTGATCACCCGCGCCAGAATCGAGCTATGGCGAGACTTTCGGCTGATTGCCGAACGTATCCGCACAACTGCAATATGCATGTTATAATGTGCAACCGCGTTGAAGCCCTTGTCGCGCACACTTTGGTCTAGGACTGTTTATGCCCACTTTCTCGGGCACCCCTCGTCCTGTTCGACTCCCGCGTTTCGGCGTGTGGCCAGCTATCCTCGTCAGGACCTGCCACAAACACCCACACGGGGCAGGCCGACGCTGTCACGAACGACGCCTCCGCTTCCGACTGTGTGAAACATCGCTGTGTGCAACACCCTCATCGGCAGAAGATGTCAAGCGGCTGTAGCGCGATGGGCGCAGACAGCTCAACTGCCTGCGTCAACCGAAAGCTTGGCTTTTTGGCCTTCAGCGAAAGCAAGAAACAACTACGCACACCAAGAACATCCAAAAGCAACATGGGACACAAACCTAAGCCAAACAACCCAGTCCTAACATATAGCAGTGACAGACATTTGCATCAAACAACAATGACGCACCACAATGACACACGTCGCTCGTATACATCATAAGTACACCATCGCGTACACGGAACACATACATCCATCATGCGCGCCCTGAACATCCATGTCGGCTTGGCACCCATACGTGCCACCATCTACACACAGCTAGGAGAGGTACCAATAACGCGCACCAATCGCAGACATCAAGAACTTCGACACATACAATGAGCAAGGGATCCGAGCAAAGCCCCAAGTCTCGCTGGATGCTGAGATGCTCCTGAAAGGCGCCCAAGAGGCCCCCGAGAAGGTCCTGAAAGGGTTCGCGAGGGTCCTGAGAGGGTCCCAATACGCCCAGGGAGGGGCTGTCGAGGGACTCGCGCGAGGCTTTTGAAATTGCTTTTGCAGGGTCCGATCGACCTGGCACCGCGACGGCAACCAGCATGGGAGACACTCTGGGATCGTTATTCACCCATACAGGAACCCTGTGGTGGGACGCTTTTAAGGGACACCAGACATCCAGAATAGGGGCGAATAACATAAATATTCGACCTGCCGAGCGTGCTCACAGGACACACTACCTATCATTAGGACGCAAACAAGCCTACCTGGCTTTTGACCACCTTCGCCTCCAAGAGATACCAAACGACGCCAAACTACGGCCTGCGCTGGTCAGGCCGCTTGACGAGGAGGCGCGTGGTATGACTTGGTTTTGCCTGGAAGCGAAAGCGGGGTAGGCAATACACGCTCTGAATCATACAAGCATCGCATGCACGAGAGAGCGCGTTTCATGGGCGCTTGCCTTAGGAACATTCGGCGGCGCGTTTCGAACCGGGAAGTGGGCCCCCCCGGAACATTCGGCGCCGGCGATCAGAACCAGGGGGGCTCCCCTTCGCCACCCCCCCCCCTTCCCGAACCCCCCACCCTCCCAAAGGGGGGGGGTTCAAATCACCCCCCCCCTCGGCGCCGGCGCCGGCGCCGGCGGCCGCCAGCAGCGCCGACGGCGGGGACGCAGCGACGATGACCAGAGGCAGCCCAAGGCGGGGGCCAGGGGTTCCAACCCCCCCCCACTCCGCCCCCGCGCCGGCGCCGGCGCCGGCGCTGGCGGCGGCCAGCAGCGCCGACGGCGGGGACGCAGCGATGATAACCACCACCACCACCATCACTACCACCACCACCTCAACCCACCATCACCACCACCACCACCACCACACAAACACCACCACCACCACAGCCACCACCACCACCACCACCACCACCACAACTCACCACCACCACAAAAACCCATCACCACTACCACTACCACCGCAGTCTACAATCACCACCACCACCACAACCACCACCACAACCAGGCACACCCACCACCACCACTACCACCACCATACACCCACCACACCGCGACAACCACCACCACCACCACTTCCACAAACCACCGCCACCACCACAAACCACCACCACCACCACAAACAACCACCACACCACCACAAAATCACCAACGCTACCACCACCACCACCACCACCACAACCGACCACCACCACCACTAACCACCACCACACCACCACCAAACCACCACCACTACCAACACCACCCACCACCACCACAACCGCCACCACCACCACCACCACAACAACAAACCACCACACCACCGCCACCACAACTCACCACCACCACCAACACCACCACAAACCACCACGCCACACCACCACCACCACCACCACCGACCACCACCACAACCACCACCATCGCAACAAACCACCACCACCACAACCACAACCACCACCACCACAACCACCACCACCACCACAACCCACCACCACCACCACCACAACCACTACCACCACCACAACCACCACGACAAACCCCCACACCATCACCGCCACCGCCAACTTAACCCACCACCGCCACAACTACCAACACCACCACCAAAACAAGAGACCACCGCACCACCACCACCACCGCCACCATCACCACCACCACCTCGACCTGCCACCACAACCACCACAACAACCATCACCACCACCACCAACCACACCACCACCACCACCAAAACCACCACCACCGCCACAAACACTACCGCCAACACCACCACCACCACCACAACAGCCCACCACCACCAGCACCGCCCTCAGAGAGGCTCCAAGAGACGCCCAAGAGGCGCCCAGGAGGCTGCACAAATACCCTGTAGAGGCCCCAGAGAGCCCTCCGACGAGATCCCAAGAGGCATCCATTAGCACGGGGGCGGAGCGTCGTCGTCGTCGTCATCGTCCTCGCCGTCGTCCTCGTCGACACTCCCCGCCGGCGCCGCCCGCCGCCGCATGCGCCGGCGCCGGCCCAGAAAAGGAAGTCGTCGTCCCCGCGCCGCCGCCAGCCGCCGACGCAGGCGCCGGCCCAGGAGAGGGAGAGAGGGGAGGGGAGAGGGGGGGGGGTTCGAACACCCCAACCCTTGTGTCACGGGAGGGGGGGGAGGGGGGGGGGGCGAGGCGGGGGGGAGGGGGGGCGGGTTCGAAGCCCCCCCCTCCATCCAGGGGGGGTGGGGGGTCCGCTTCCACCCCCCCCCCCCAAGCGACCACAGAACGTGCTCTTTCCATGCACAATGTGTAACAGGACAAACGCGCACAATGTGTAACATGCGTACAGTTCATGCCGGGCATAAAGAAATCGCGCCACCACCATGCGCAAACAAGTCCGTGCCATGTCGCACCGTCGGGTCACTCAGAACAGGCTTCAAAACCACTCGCAACACCTCCCTGGCGGGGATCGCCCGTTATCCACAACAACAACAACAACAACAACAACAACAACAACAACAACAACAACAACAACAACAACAACAACAACAACAACAACAACTTGTCGGATAGTTGCAAATGTAAGCCGTTAGCGGCTTCTGGAGGCTGCTGGAGACCTCTGGAGGCCTCCAGAGGACTTCCTGGGACCTCTAGGGACATTCCTGGCGTTGTTCTACATTGTTCTCTCCCCAGCCCCACCATACACGCTTTTGCTGATACGATGTGTGATTTCAGTCAGAGGTCAACGAGGATGTCTCATCACCAGAACCCTCTTCGCTCTCAGGCTCAGGAGGTGCATAAAACCATGATCCTTCCATTGAATCCTGTGCAGGCCACCCCGAGGCGAGATCAGCTTGGTCTACCCCTCCTCCTGCATCCACGTGCTCGAGATCGATAGCGTCGCCAAGAATCCTGTCGACGATGGCCGCTACGGCCGAGTCCCCAGTGATGTTGACCATGGTCATCCCGCGGTCCACGATCCAGACAATTCCGACAACGAGACCGAAACTGCTGGTCATCGGGACCCCAGAGCTGGTCAGCATCGTGGCGAGCAAGACCATGCCGGCGCTCGGGACGGGCGCGGAGCCAAGGGAGCAGAGCATCGCCAGCACGGCCATGAGCAGGAACCTACCAATGGTGAAGCTGATCTACTCGATCCTGCCCAGGAAATAACAAGATGGAGCTAAGACGAGGATAAATCAGAAGGGGATAGATCGAGAATCTCTGTGATCCGGCGGCTGTGGAGGACGTCTCGGGCGCCGCGGCCTTCTCAGAGCGTTCTGGCTCTGAGAGCGTTTCTGGAACGCTCTGGAACGGATTTGTCCTCGTCCTTGCCCCGTCCGATAGACCGCGTTGATGAGGAAGAGCCCCGTCCCATCCATGTTAACAGTGGCGCCCAATGTCAGCACGAACTTGGCAACGGGCGCGCGGATCTTGTTGCGCTCGATGGCGCAGCTTATGTTCTCTGGCAAAGTTGCGACCGACGAGGATGTTCCAAGCGCGGTGAGCACGGCAGGCACGACGTTGCACATGTATCGGACGGGATTGCGGCGCGCGAACAGCAGGATCAAGAGCGAGTACATAACCAGCGCGTGGACAGCGAAACCGATGTAGCAAGACAGGATGAACATGCAGAGGAGGCGCCCGGTCTTCTCGAGGTCCATCTTGGCCGCGCTGCTGAACACGAGGCATCCGACACCCAAGGGCGCCATCTTCATGAGGAATTTGATGATCCTCGCCACCACGTCGTTCATTTGACCGACCACCTCCAGAGTGGTCGACGGCTCTCCACTCGACGCCTTACTCTCGATCACCAGCCCGAATACAATCGAGGCCATGATGATCGGCAACATGTGGTTTGCGCCTGCGTCGCTGACGAGATTGGAGGGCACCAGCCCGTCGAATATGTTCAGGACGCTCTCAAGCAAAGTCAGGTCCACGAGTTCCGGGGTGGTCGTCGTTTCTCCTGCCGCCCCAATGGCGAAGTCGCCCACGAGCGGGTCGAGCACGCACACCGCTGTCACGCAGCCAACCCCTGCGGCCAGCAGCGTCGTCAGAGAATATAGCCCCACCACTCCTGCACCGACTGTTCTCGCGCCTGGAAGCGATCGCATCATGACCATCGCCTGAACCATAGCGAACACCACCATTGGAAGCACGACGCATTCGAGGCCCTTGAGCCACAGCTTGCCCGGAAACCCGACAACAGTCACGGCTTCCGCGGTGGCCCAACCGACGGACCGAAGGCCGAAACCGAGCAGCGCTCCAAGAACCACTGCAATCATGATGTGAGTTGTCGGGTTGCGCAACACTCTCATCACTGGATGCCGCCTAGGAGTCCGCGGGCTCTTCGGCGGGTGTTGCGACGACTGCATGCTGGCGGGATCGTCTTTGGAGCGTGCGCTCACAGCTCGGCAACACTAGCAAGCATCCTCAACTAAGCGAACGCGTCCTGAAGCAAAATGGCTACGTGCAGACTCTCGCGGTGCCCTCTCCGATAGGAGGAGAGCCGCGTGAGAACATGGCGGTAAGACAACGGCGGCCCAAATCCGCTCAAGATCGATCTCTGACTTTTCCCTGGGGCTGTAAATGCACCAGCTTTTCGATCTGCGTCCAACCGTGGCGGCGAGGGCTCCCCCGGAGGGCCAAAAGGGCAACCTTTCATATCAACTGGGGAAACCAAAACGTACCGATACCGCTGCTCCCCAGACCTCTCCCGGGGCGCGTTCTGACTGACCAGGATTCCGAGGCGAATCCAGCGGGGGCGACGAGGGCCGCCCAGAAGGCCCAAAAAGGGCAAAACGAGGGAAGGGTAGAGAGGCGGAGGAGGAGGAGGAGGAGGAGGAGGAGGAGGAGGAGGAGGAGGAGGAAGAGTTCCCTCCTCTGGTCAGCGCGCCCTCCTCCGACCTGAGGGGGTCAACCTTTTCCTCCGCCGGCTTCTGCCAGCATTCCGCCAGGCTCGACCAGCGGATGCCACCAGCAGCGCTGCATTTCCGCCGGCTTCCGCGGACCCGCCTCCGGCTCCCGCCACGGGAGGGCTGATGCGCCCTTCAGCTCGTCGAGGGTCCTGCCCGATGGGGAGGGGGAGGAGGAGGAGGGGGAGGAGGAGGAGGAGGAGGAGGAGGAGGAGGAGGAGGAGGAGGAGGAGGAGCGCCCTGC